CGCAGCTTGAGTTGCATCAGTCTTCTACCTTTGGACTTGAATCCGTTGCTGTGAACGACCCTGCCTTGAGCTCTTCCTGGTACCTCCTGCAGACATGGGATTGGGACGACAGCTCGTCATGAACATCATGCGACCTATATTACATTGGACAATAGGAAGACGGCGTGATGACAGTCTAGCAGCTGGAAGGTTGTCGTGCGGTCCAGGATTACAATCCTCGCGAAGCATCAGATAATGGGACGACGTGATCGTGATCTGATGGAAGGTTGCCGTGAGGTGTAGGTTTAGGTCTAGCACCCATAGCATTACTTTCGTCATGAAATATCGGATCAGAGGACGGCGTGATGATGGTCTGATGGAAGTTTGTGGGTTGTCGTGAGGTCTAGGAAGGTCGTTGCGAAGACCCCAATGGATGGACGTTTCGATGGCCCCGTGCATGCGACACTCATCGTGCAATATCGGGCCTGCGTAGTCTGTCTGCTACTATCACTATAATATATTGTAAAATGCATATGTTGTAAAGCGCGGGGTATAAGGCCAGCGGGGGCCGCCGCACTTCGCTAAAGCCGCGCTGCCACGTGGAGCGCCCGGCGCCCTTCTGCGCGGAATCGACAACCCTCTTAGTGCTTGCGGCGTGTCCGACTGTTGCACGCGGAGTCTCGGAATTCTGCGCAGAGTCGAAAGCCCTATCTGTCGGTGTTATGGGAGCGCAGGAGCGCTAGCACGTGGAGTGTCCTCGGAATCCTGCACAGAACCGATGACAATTGCTGTGTTCGCGGCACATCCGAGCGCTGGCGCCTGGAGCATTCTCGGAATTAATCGACGCACCTTGCAAGCGTGTTGGAGTGCTGGCGCGTGGAGCACCCTCAGAATTCTGCGTGGAGTCGCAACCCTGTCTGTGTTTGCGCCCCGTCGGAGCGCTGGCATGTGGAACGTTCTCGCCACTCTGCACGGAGTCGACGCCGATGCCCCTCTCGAATGTGAGGCGTGTCGGAGCGCTGGCTCTAGGTGGACACAGCGTGTCGGAACACTGGCGGCGGAGCGTCTTCGGAAATTTTGCGCGCAACGACGACCGTGTCAGGCGCGCGTCACTGTCACGCGGAACATCTTCGGAATTTCGCGTGGGCGGGCGACGAACCCAGGTCATCCATTTTCTGCTTCTCATATAAGGCTCTTAAATTCTTAGTTCAGCGTTCTTCTTTCTTGGATAGGGTGCTCTGCAATTAGAGCAGAATGGTTGCGTTTCCCTTGTATTTTTTTAAAGATTCAATGAATCCTGCAGGCGCACCAATCTTCTGCACCAAGCGCTGCGTGGCACCATCAATGGGCCATGCCCGAAGATCCCAAACACACTGAGGGACGCCGGGAGAGGCAGGATGGAGTACTTGAGCGGCGCACGCACTCAACATCTTCGCCTTTAAGCTGGCAAAGGTTCAGTGAACCCTGCAGGCGTACCATTCTTTTGCACCAAGCGTTGCGTGGTACCATCGATGGGCCATACCCAAAGATCCTAAACACACTTCCACCCATTGTACCCATTGTTTACAAAAGCTGTCCACTCAATGTGTAAAGCAACCAATGCGCCTGTGACAAACCTAATTGCCGGCGCCTGTGCTTGTAGCACGTAGCGAGCAGAGGTCCAAAAGAGTCGACAAGGTTGGGAAGAACGTCCTTTGTGGCCCGTGGCAACCGCAGCAGGAGCACAACCGAGACTTCCTGGATATCGAATCCCATCACCTTGTGATTCAGCCATCGTCCTCTGCGTCGTGCCAATTCACCGTCTTCCGAGACACGCGAAAGCCATGTTGCGCCACCAGCACGCACATATATACCAAGATCTAAGCGTTTGACGCCAAGCGCATCTGTTTGGTCAAGCTTACAGGCAGCCAACAGCTCTGCGAAACATGTTCGGAAGGCCCCAGCCGACGTGGGCCAGAGCGAGCACCCAGCCTGCAGACTTCCAAAGGCCAACCTTATCACTGCAAGAAGATCAGGTTGATCAATTTGGAAAGGTTGTTGACGGGCAAAAGCTAAAACGAGTCTTGGGTTCTTCTTTGACTGCAAGCGGAGCAAATCCAGCGGTTTGTCGAAGTCCTTAGGGAGAACCAGGTCAGGTCGCTTCACGGAGAGCACCTCGCCGATCCGTGCCAAACCGCCCCAGGCTATTGCAAGGAGTCCGGCGACAACAGACACAAACTGCCAGCATTGCAAACAGGATTTGCCACAGCATTGCCTGGCGCTTCAAGCGAAGCAACTGAAAAGCAACATCCCACGCGGGCTGAAGCAGCCGGCGGCGGAACTTTGGCAGCCGTGCAGCTGGAATTTACCGTCTCCGAGTAAACACTATATGGCCTTCCAGAACTGTAAAGCTACCAACAGCGCGTTCAAGGAGTCGGTATTAGGCTCCCAGAGGCTCCCAAGGCATCAGAAGCACTTGCAGACGAGGCTACAGAATTCCATGGCTGCCATGGAAACCGGAACCCGAAACAGACCCCAAAGAGCGACAAAGGACCCTCACCAGGAAAACCTTGAAAGCCCAACTAGAGGAGCGAGCTGCATCGGAGGGGAGCGGCAGGGCAGAGAGCCGGAGGATGAGGCGAGCCCAATTGGAGTCCCAATGCTTCGGACGCAGAAGGTGGAGCAATTGGAGGCCGTGCTTGTCAACAAGTCCAAGTCCAGGCAGAGGCAAAGGGATCTCAGACCCACGGTCATGAAGGCAGCCAAGGAAGACCTGCCTTTTGACAAGGCGCACCTGGCCACGTTGGAGTTGATGAGGGAACAGAAGCGCCCTGGCTTTGCAGCAGAGCAGCTTGTAGTAAGCGCCGGCCTCAAGGAGGTTGATATGAGACCGGCGATCACATCTGTCCATCACGATCATCACACCACATTTTATTAGAACATTATCACGCCATCCCATTCGAAGACCAGCTCCATTGAAAATATCTACACCATGCGTTCGGAAAATTGGCGTCGCAACTAAGAGAGCCCGCCGCGGGCTTACACTGAAAGAAGAGCGACGGCCTGCTCGGCCTTTGTGGAACCCGTGTTTTAGTGTGCATTTGATCGCGAGCCCAGCGCATAGAGGCCCCGCGAACGCGCAGCCAAAAACACAGGGGTTCGTGTTTTTTTGGTATGCATTTTGCAAAGATCCAGGAGGCTCCTAGCGCATAGAGACCCTGTGAACGCACGGTAAAAAACAACCAGCGTGAATAACATCTTTTTTTTTTGCATTCACGGTGCATGCCTTGCCATGCCTTGCCCCGAAAACGAATGCCTTTGCAGAATCACGAAGATGGAGCATCGAGCGAATGCACAGCAACAAAAGACTGTGCAAAAAAACACGTCGACCCTTAACCCATTGTTACATTTTACTTCAGAATGTCCCGAGATGGCGAATCTGTTTAATTCATTCTGTTTATTCAGATCGGAAGTGTTGAAAATTACCGCAATATGCAATAAGCTAATGTAGAGGCTTCCGCAGGGCCTGCAAAGTGCACGTGTGTGTTTCCAATGGCTTCAAGTCATACGCCACGTCACATTTGCAAACTTCAATTTGTTGATTTCAAAATTGTTGGCCACGACTCCGAATCTACGCGAGCCTGTGTATGATGTCCTTGTTGCATGAAATGTTGAATGGTGAAGATACATGTTGCATGATTACCAATGAATTTTGTAAACAGTATTGGATGGTGTTATTGTTTGTGATAACTTCGATCATGATTCGACAGGACAGATGATCTGTTTCAGATGTTCAGAAGCCAACTTGTGCAACGGAATGTCCATCCACAAAATTCCTTACTGCGGAAGATGCAGCACGCAGAACCAGAGCTCTGGTTCCCGATGTGGCAAGCTCGGGTAAATTCCAAAACGAAATCGCAACATACAGTCAAGCATGCGTTGCCGTGTAAAACACGTGTCCAATGAAATCTTGACAACGTGTTCGTGCATCTTGTATGATAGGTTTTTTGGTTCATTGATGTACGTTCATGTTTCGTCGGCGTAACCGACCGTTGGTTGCATGATGCTGCGTTGAAGAAAGCTGCAAGAAGGATTCCAAGGCTATAGGTCCATGCGAGGATGATGCGTATGAGGATGGCAAGGTAGTGATGGGATGGGGTAGGATGAGATGGGATGGTGGGATGTGGGCACGGTCAGCACGGGCGGTGGGGGGGGTTTGGGGGGGGTGATTGGCTGGATTCGTTTCGAAATCCAGCTTGTATGGGGAAGTTATCGCAACTGATGGCAACAGGCAGTGACCCTTCCAAGTTTAACATCAGTGTGCTTTGTGATGGGGGGTTCTGATTATTAAACCCCCCCCCCCCCCCCNNCCTAATCAAGTTCGGGAAAAGTTGTTTGGGGGGGCCCGATCCTTAGGGCTATAAACAGCCCTAAACCGTAAACCCTAAACCTAAAACCTTATACCCTAAACCCTAAACCTTAATTAAGCCCTATACCCTAATTAAACCCTAAACCCTAAACCTTAATGCCTGGGCGTTTCCAAAAGCCAGCACGCATTGTTCCGTTCCTGGGTTGTTATTAATCCGTTCAGC